CGAGAACTCAATCAATGATAAGTGATGATCCCAACTACCTCTTAGATCCATCGTACATGCCCTAAGGTCCGAATTATTCTTTCTAGTTGACCATTTGTTTGAGGATAAAATGCTATACTAAAGTCTAGTCTCGTATTAAGTGCCTCTTGTAACTTCTTTTAGAATCGAGATATAGAATGAGTACCTCGATCTAAAATGATGGAGATCGAAATGTCATGTAAGGACACTATCCGATGAATGTATAACAAGGCATATTGAGCATACCCATAGGCGGTTTTCACATATAGGAAATAGGTGGACTTAGTTAATCTATCCACGATCATCAAAATTGAGTCATAACCTCTTAAGGTTCAAGGCAAGTCCGTTATGAAGTCCATTATCACTCTTTTCCATTTCTCGCTCTCGCTAGTGATAACTTTTATAACATTCTTATCGATCTCCGATGTTTATACTTTACTTATTAACATGTCAAGTATCGTGAAATAAACTCAATAATATTCTTCTTCATTCTAATCCATAATAATTCTCATAGAGATCCTTCTACATCTTAACATAATTAGGATGCACAAAATAGGTCATACTATGAGCCTCTATCAAAATCTATTCTTTTAGCTTTGGATTCTTTGACACACACAGACCTTCGATGAAACTATATAGCGCCTCTATTATCAACTCTAACACTCAAACTCTTTCTTTCTTGCATCTTAGTGTAAATCTCTTGGATCTCCTTATCATTCACTCGAGCCTCTCGAATTTGATCCACCAAAATGGCTTAATCTCCATATGGGCCAATATTGTACCTAATTCATTAACTTTAAACACTAGTTCGAATCTTGTAATCTATTCATTTCGATCCCAATGGCTATTTCTCCTCCGATATGTGAGCTAAACTTTTGGTTGACTTACTACTCAAGGTATTGGTAACCACATTAGCCTTATCCGGATGGTACAAGATGATACTATCATATTCTTTCAGCAATTCTATTCCATCTTCTTTGTCTCAAATTCAAATCCTTTTGATCAAATATATACTTCAAACTCTTATGATCTATATAGATTTCCCATACCTCTCTATATAGATAATGCCTCGTAAACCTTTAGGGAAAAAAACCACCATTACTAATTACAAGTCATTTATAAGATGGTTTTATTCATGTTTCTTTAACTCGTCTCAAAGCATAAGCTACTACCCTATCATATTGCATTAATACACATCCCAACTTCACTTTCAAGGCATCATCATCAAACACCAAAAATCCATCATTACCCTAAGGTAAGGTAAGGATCGGTATCATGGTCGAAGCACGTTTTCGGCTTCTAAAAGCTCTTTTCACACTTATCGGACCATTAAAACCTCATATTTTTCTAAGTTAACTTAGTTAAAGGCATTGTAATGCTTGAAAAGTCATGCATAAATCTCTAGTAATACATTGTTAGACCCAAAACGTTTCAAATTTCCATCTCTTAAGTAGGTCTCGGCCAATGGCTTACTACCTTTACCTTCTTTGTATCCATCATAATCCCTTGTTGGGACATAATGTGCCCTACGAATGTCACATTCTCCGACTAAAATTCACACTTCGTAAATTTAACATACAATCTTCGATCTCTTAATACATACAACACTTGACTTAGATGATTCTCATACTCCCTACCATTCTTAGAATACACTAGAATGTCATCAATAAATACAATCACGGATTTATCGAAAAAGAATAAAAACACCATATTCATCAAATCTATAAAAGCTACCGAAGCATTGGTAAGGCTAAACGACATCACTAAAGCCTTTTTCTATTATTATTATTTAATTTTAATTTTGATTGCTTATAGTTCACGATAAACACAAACCTCCATTTAATTCCTTTACACTACAAAATAATCGAACAATATAGACCATTAATTAAGCCACTTTCTTATAAGTTCAATCATTGGTTGCCCTATCTACACTCTTATGGTTGGATTTCGTGAGGAAAATATAAATTATTAATTTATTAGTGATACAACATTCCATCAAAGATGCTAAGAGCTTACCTAGGTAGCCAAGTGGGTTGTGATGAAACTAATCATAAGTTTTCGAGTGTGAAATACTCAAATTACCCTTCTAGGATCAATTTTATTCCCTACGAGAACAATGAAGATTGAATTGTTCTAGATAGCCAAAAAAGTAAAAGTAGCTTCTCATTGAAGTTTTGAGGAGGTCACCGTGCAATGACTAAAATGCCTTTGGTTTATTATGAAATGATAAAAATATCTCATGGTGTATGTACAATATGTGCCAACAAGTATTTACCAAATTACCCATGAAACCCTTACCTCATTGTCAACGACTCCGACCATCATTCAACCTTCTTTTGGTATGTTGTTGGTTGGGGAAGGAATGATCTCACCTTTTCAACGTCCTTATAAAGGCTGCTGTGCAAGAAAAGGAAGAACGACAATCGTTAACTGCTACTATTTTCTCCTATCTTGCTCGATCATAATTTCAATTGTGGTAAAGGAATAAGAGGATGCTAATTGATTAAGAATGATCAAGTGAGTTTTTTCTAATGGTTTGGATGTCCGATTTGGTCTAGATCGGACAATAGAGATAAGTTTAAAAAATGAGTTAGGATTTAGATTCTTCTTTGATTTGATTGATTTTGACAAGTATTTCATCAATATTTTGAGTGGAAGCAACTATTAAGAGGATGAAGAGTGTTTCTACAGAGGTGGTAGTGATCGATTTGGCCTAAAAATGGCGATTTGGTTAGGTGCACTACTTCTTCCATCAATTTTTGACCTACACAACTATTTTTCTTTGCTCTAATTGGTCAAAAAAAAGTTTGATCCGAGATTGGGCTTCAAGTTTTTGGTGGTTATTAAGGGTGGTGTTGGCCAAAGAGTGGTGTCTTAGGGAGGAGATGGCTAGCAGTGTCCGGTAGGTTAATCCGCAATTAGATGAGTTTTGGAGGATAAAGTGTAGATTTTCTTCTTTTTTTTTATTCCTTTTGTTCCCTCCTTAATGGTAATGGTGAAGAAAAAGGTTTCTCTCGGTAGGTTTCTTATGAGAGAAGAAGATCGAATGAATATGACCCCCAATGAGAAAGAAAAAGGTGAGTTTTTATATTGAGGGTTAGTTCGGGTTTGTGTATTTCTACATTGATCCTACTTTTTTTTTCTTTTTGTACATTTTATTCTTACCACTTCTCTCTTTCTTTCTTTCTTTTTATTTTTAATTAGCAAGCTTTTTAATTGAATTCTTAATTCAATTATATTTTGCTCCAATTTCTCACATTTAATCAATTTGGCCCAAAATTCCTAATTTTTATGTTATTTTCTTTTGTCATTTATTTCTTCCTTTTTTTCCTTTTTTTATTTTTTTTATTTTGGCTTTTTGTTAATTTTTCTAAACTCCAAAAAATTATGGAATTCTTAGAAAATCCTAACCTAAGGATAAGAATTACACAATCAAACAAATTAGACAAAGCACATTTGATTTTAACATTTCTATTTTTCAAAAATATGCAAAACAAAAGGGTAAAAAATTAGGTGATAACGAGTGAGCATAGTGTCGTGGTCTCGGCATTTTAACTTTTGGTGTGCTCCTCAAGATCGCATCATTAGATATGGCTTACGGGCAAATTGTCCAATCTCTTCTAAGCTATTTAAGTGTTTGTTCATACTTCATCATTAACTCTTGATTTTCTATGAACACTTCCTTCATCCATTCTATGAAAACATTCTTTTTTGGCAGTGCTCTCTTTGACATACCTCTCAACCAACTCTACCCGGGTTTGAAGATCGAAGATCACTTCACATAGGCGATCTAATTTATCTCCCTTATTATCTCCTTCCATCTCCTCGAGTCTATCTTTGAAATCGATAAGGTGTCCCTCCATCCTTCCGAGATATTCTTTAAAGGCAACTATCACATCACGAGACTTTTTCCTTTCTTTCTTAGGTTGAGGAGGTAGAGTTTCATTTCTAGTGTCCACATTAGCATTCTCAATACCAAAGCTAGACATACTCACTCTTTAAATACTTAACATGTGACCAAGCTTAACCACGCTTTGATAGAACTCGGCTCTAATAACACTTGTTGCATACTTAGCCTTTCCTAAGCTCTTATACGGTGCTTGGCTCAGTTTTTTACTTAAATCGAATCAAATTAGTCTTTATCTCATATTAAGTTGTAAAGCAAGAAAAAAAAAAAAAAGGTATTAGAAAACTTTGTATTCCTCTCAAATGCTTACAACTCTTTTAGAATAAAATTCTTGAATCTCAATCTCTTTGATCTTCTTGATGGTTTGGCCAAATGAAAGCCTTGCCTATATATAATCCTTCGCCTTCTCAATAGATGATTATGATCTATTCAATCTAATGGCTACAATCGATTATCTAAAATACCGATATATAAATATTTATAAATAACTATCTAGATTTGTGCATGTCATGATAACGAGACTCTCTAGAGTTATCTAAGACATATCTAGATTTTTTCGAACAACTTAAAAGCTTTGTGAATGCTCTAATATTTTCTAGACGCTTTTGAATTTATCTAATGTCCCCGTTAACCTTCGGGAATGTCCTTTCCTTCTTCATGCGAGACCTAACAATATTTGACTTCTCTAAGAAGGAAGATCTAGGTGATAGCCCATTGCTTATTTAGAATTACTGGCCCTGTAGTTTAGCGGATGGGTTTGGACTTTGGAGTGCTCACTTAACAAATCTTTTTGGAGTTTTCTTCCTGATTTGTACCAAAAATACTACTAAAAAGATTTTGGGTGCTTGGTCGGTCCAACTTCATCCGGTCCGGTTATTGGCAAATTGATTATCGAAGCATTATAAATTTACAATGACGTTCGGCTAGAACACTATTATCTGGTTACCTCTGAAAAGGGCGAGATGAGATTCAGATAAAAATCATTGGCTATCTTCGATTGGAGACTCAAAACTGATTAAACTTCCTGTTGGATTTAAATAAAAAATCCATTTATATACTTATAAGATTGGTGCCTTTATAACAAGAAAAAATAATAAACAACTTCTAAAAGCAATAAGGTACACCATGAAGCTTTCTTAAGCAATTCTTCGTTACTAGAAATATTGAAACTCTTTCTATTTCTAGGATTAGAGCCATCTATCCCCATGTTGGGACATGGAGCTGGTGATGGTGATGATACTGGTGGTAATGCTATAGATGGAACCAGATCAGGATTATTAGACAGTGGTGACCCGCTTGGACACGTTGCATTACAATTTCGATCACCTGCATGAAAATCAAGTTCCTTATAATTAGAGAGGAGTAAGATTCATCGGGATTTGCAGGTGCTGAAAGAAGCATATATGCAAATACCTGGGCACTGGACATAAGAAGAATTGACTAAACTGCAATACAATGAATGTAATGTGCATTATTAAAACCCATGTATCATTAATGCAAAGTGAAAATAATGAGTGAATCGAACAATTTTCATGAAATTAATGAAGAAAGAGAACAGCTTAAATCTTCTTGTTTCAAACCAATAATTGCTATCCTCTTGATTAATTACCTTCTGAAAATTTTGCGGCCATAATGTCCACGATACTCACAAGCAGTTATATTGCAACCAATGGATGTGTTCTCTACATATGTGTCCCCAATGAAAAGATCAGAATCTTTGCATTGTAAATGAGAGCATGACGACTCGATGCCGGAAGGTAAACACTGCAAGCTGATGAACAAAATTGCAGAGGTGTTACACTATATATGTCAGGCTGTAGGAATTAGGAAGCAATATGTTTATACGGACTAACTGTATAACAGCACTCCTTGGTGTTTTAAATTAATATTTGATTGCAGTAGAAAAATTTAAAACTCTTTGCTCAGCCTATCAAAAAGGATGAAAAAAGAAAAACGAAAGAAGCACTTACTTGAGACTGCCAGGTTCACAAATGCATTTGATGCAGTCGTTGGCAGTGAGAGCATAGGAACCATTTGGAACTATTAGAGTCTCATTGTGCCAGTTAAGATTTGCAGAAGAACATGCTGCATAGAAAAGTCGGATCGTGAATTTATTCGAATGAAGTTGATTGGCAATGGTACCATGAGAGCTATCCAACCTAAGACTTTGAGGTTTTGATCCAGGGTTACCAAAAAGCTTGTCCAACCTGATTATTTGGTCATGTTGGCTCTCATTACCGTATCAAAAAGTCATCCAACCAAGAAGTTTCTAAGGTTTTTTTGACAAGCATATTATCAAAGATGAAAATGTTCAGTTACAAACCAGCTGAAAATGACACCACTAGCAGCCCGAACTATATAGCAAAGTTAAGGCAAACAACAAAGGTACTAGGTTGTCCAAGCGACAAAATCATGTTCCTGATAACGCCTTGGTTTGCTCGTTGGTAGCAATGTTTAATTCTCAGCTACGTTTTAAACATGAACCATTTGTATCATTTGTTTTTCAACTTAATATTAATAATATAGCCTTAGTGAATGCTTATTTTGACTATTTTACCTCATCTATAGGGAAAACAAATGTAGTAAGCTAGAAAACAGATCATTGTGGACCACGTCTGTGTACAACTTGTCTGATAGTGACGATGGAGGCAGAGACACAGAGAGAGTTTAGTGGCAAGATGGACTCTAACCAACTATACCTTTGTCCTTCATTATCAAAAAAGAAAAAGAAAAAAGAAAAACAATACCTTTGTTACTATTGAATTTGGTTCATTAACCCAAAAAGATACAACTTGTCTTCTGCTTAAACCAAAAGAAGATTGTATGAATAAAAGGGATTGTATGAATAAAAGGAAATATGTCTTATTACAATGTCCTTTCCTGGAATAAATAGAAGTTCACTATCTTGACAGAGAAGACATAAAATGACTTTCCTAACCGGGAGCCAATTATATTAATTGCAGCTAGCTACCACTTTACCAGTACCAATATTCCAAAAATTGAATGCTACTCACTAACCTGAAATTGGAATAGCCAGTACGTCACCAGGATCAACAACCGGTTGGCCAAGACCATTAACAGCTTCCAAGTCCATAACAGTGGTGTCAAACTCCATTGCTATACTGCCCAAACTCTCATCACTTTGCACTACGTATGACATATACACTGTTGCAATACCATTGTCGCTATTATTAAAGCATGTGCAAGGCAAAGGTATCAAAAGTGTCTGGCCACTCATTAACGGGTTCCTGGCGTCGACTCCATTAGCACTCATAATCTGTTGTGGACTTACAAGTCCACCATAACCTTCTGATATAAATTCAGCAGTGTCAGCTGCCCGGACAGTATAAGTAGTTGATATGGACCGTCGGATGCCATCCACACATGGACATGGAATTGGTATTTTAACAATTGATTTGGCATGGAAAATTTGGTTACTAAGGAATGATGTTGTTGGATTGATGGAGTTTGCTGCCGAGATGTCAGAAATGTTCACTTGGAAACGATAAGCTATTTCTGAGAGCTTTGAATCATAAGGCAGAATATAAGACAGAAGAGAGGTGCAAGAATCTGAGGAGCTGCATGGTTCAATAACAGATTTTGCATGTGTTGTTGTACAAGGGAAAACAAAGAGTAGGAGACTAGGGAGGAGTAGAGAAAGAAGTTTCCCCTGGGGTACCATTTTTCCGGATAAAGGCAATAGTTGAGAAATTGATGTGATCCTTTTTCATTCGAATTTATTTTTGTGGGATGTGATTAGAAGTTAGCTGTGTGCAATTTGTGCAACATTTAATATGAGAGTGATGGAATAGAGCTCTGGAGCATGATAAGAGTTTGAATGTTAGGTGTGGTGGCATGGTTGCCAACTAACTCCTTCCCAAGTCATGGTGTCATATTTTTCTAGGGCTTAAAAATCTGATCAAAGATGCAACTAGTGATGGGAAGGAAGGTATATCTTATCTATCTCTGTCTAGTATAGATTCAGGATTTAAGACTTGAACTGAAAGACTTGTTGTTACCCTTTTTTAGTCCTCTTTATTTAAAAAATAATTGAAAATTAATTTTTTTTTCAATTTATTCGAATTTTTATTATTTCCTAAGAAAATAATTAAGATACACCATGACTAAAAACGGGATGATTAAGAATAAAAAAATGAGCAGAAAGAGAAGTTAGTGCATGAAAAAAATAATGAAAAAAAATGGATTAAACAGAAAATCAAGAAAAAAGAATAAAAACTTTTAGACTATCCTAATCAGGTTTGATTAGGCCTAATTCTATTTTTAGAATTAGTCCGGTCTAACTTAGGGTAAATATATCTTTAACCAAGTTAAGCTTAATTACTTTAAAGAGGCGAACCTAGACTAAGGAGTGTTGAGGTACTCATCCCTATCTAGAATACAAACTAGCTTGTGACTCGTGTTATGCTGCGGATTGGATAGAACAATAAAAGTAGTTAAAGAAAAAAAAGCCTTTATTTATTGAGCAAAATGATAAAAGAACATTTTAATGCGTATAAAATATGAAAATATAGTTACAAAAAAAAAAAAAAAACATTTGTAAAAATTGTATTGTTACTTGATCCAGCAAATAAAGAACTATAGGAAACAATTAAACCAATGATAGTATAAACCTGTTTTAAATCCATTCAAGTTTGTTTCAAGTTGGTAAAAGTAATTATTGTTGCTATAATAGAACTAATAACTATGAGCTATGTTGCTATATATATTTATTTAATTCTAATTCGAAATTTAGAGGCTAAACAAAATTTTTTATGAAATTAAACTTAGATTTTCACACTCAAAGTATCATTTAAAAATTAATACATTTACCACAATGCAAACATTCAAATCGAGAAGAAATAAAACTAACAAATATGAATTATTTGTTACTATATGTAAATTGAGTTAATTCTAATTCAAAGAGTAGGGGTTGTGCCAAACTAAGATTTAGAAACTCAAATTACCATTCAAAAATCAATACATTCACAATAATGTAAACATTAAAATTGTGAATTAATAATAATAATATGCTTGATTTGTTCCCTTCCATCCAATTCTTTAACATCTGTATATAAAAAATGAAAATACAAAATAAACATTAACTTGCAGTTCCATCTTATTTTTGGAATCCAAGTTGATCTTTTGCAATGAAACAAAATGAAAACAATGATGTCATTTAAATTATATTGTAAAGATTTCTACAGCGAAGATTTGAATTAATACATAACCTTTACTCACCATTTTTTGAAACCATTTTGTTTGATTTCAAAATTTGGTCTTGAAAAATAAAAAAACAAAAATGATACTAAAGGATACCATTTCTTGTTAAAGTTCGATATGGCATTATAGTAAATCAATATGGAGATTCAATTTAAAATTTAGTTGCCCTAATGCCATAAAGAATTTCAACTGAGGATTTAGGAAAGTGAAAGTCTGAAAATTTGAAGTCACTAAGCAACTTCTCCTCTCAAAATTCAAACTGAGTTGGACCTAATATCTAGTTTCTTTTTATTCTGTCCCGTAAATGGATTCTATTCAAATGGATAATTAATACAATATCCTTAGCTGTCAACATATTTTCAACCGAATTTTCTAAGGATTAACTCTTTACGTTCCAATCCTACATAAGGTCTTCTTCGTAACTGATTTCCTCAAAAGACCAACGTGTAAAATCTCTCACCTTCTCCAAATTGGTCATATATGTCATCAAAATCTATTTTAACAAATAAATTTGCATTCCTAATTATAAGCTTCAACGATTTGATTAATTTACAATAAGGGATCAATATATATATATATATGACATGAAACGGAAGTATAATTAGTTGCTTACCAATGAAGGTAGCAGCCATGATAGTAATGCCACCATCATTAACTTGGCGTGATTCATATCCATCAGCATTGGTTTTTTTTTTGTTTATTGTACTAAAGTGACAATTAATATAAGAAAAAAACATATATTAGTCGCAAACTATATTAGAAAATCTTTAACATTAACATAGCCAATCAAATTTTCATACAAAACTGTATACATTTTAATCTTATATAATTTCTCACAGAGTATAGATAAATTTAAAGGATAGATCATATAACTAATCTCAAAATATTTGTAGGGTTGATAAAATTCAGATCTATCAGATACTCTTCAATTATAAATCTGACCAGTGTATTTCTATCATTTGTAATAGTAACATTAAACCTATCTATAATGATTTTTTAATTTTTCTTTATATAGCCAAACTTTAATTTTTTTTAATAGAAAAGTGTTTGCATCATACATTATTTGAACCTATCATCTTTTAATAGAAAACAGAGCAAAAATGTAAGGAAAAGGGCAAAGCTGAATAGTAGTGTAAGGCATAGTAAGAGCACAATATTTGAGAAAAGGTATAAGGCAAGAATAGTTAACTTTTAAAATAATGACATGGGAAAGGCAAGGAAAGCTACCGTAGGAATAGAAAGGCAAATCAACAATTAAAGCGCACAGAACAAAGAAATCAATAGGCCAACAACAATCTGCATCAATAGGAAGCAAAACATGACAAGAAAATCAAGAGCAAGAAAGCAAAAAAAGCAAATGCAAGCTGAGGATTGATAACAATCTTAATCGATAGAAAACGTAGGCAAGCAGAATAATAGTAGAATTTAAAATGACTTTGGTAATCAGAAAATAAATTAGTATTATGCATATTAGCAAAGCAAAGACAAAGGATATGGAAATGATGAACTTAAACATTGTTTTCTATTTATTGCAATAAAGCAAGTGACAATTAATGCAAGAAATTAACATGTATTAATCACAAATTATTTCAGAAAATTTCAACATTAGTATAGCTGGTCAAATTTTGATATAGAACCTTATATATTTTTTATCTTACATAACTCCTCAAAGAGTATAGATAAATTATAAGGGTAAATTATATAGTTAATCTCAAAATATTTGTAGGATTGATAGAATTTAGATCCACTAGACACTTTTCAATTATAAATATGACCAATGTAAGTTTGTCACTTGTAATAGTCAAATTAAACATGTATAATTTTTTTAAAAAAATTTTGTTTGATTAGCTAAACTATAATCTTTTAATAGAAAATTATTTGCATCATTAATTATTTGAACCTATCATCTTTTAATACAAACCAGAACAATAGTATAAAAAAAAAAAAAGCAAAATAGAACACTAGTGTAAGGCATAATAAGAGCACAATATTTGAGAAAAAGTATAAAGTAAGAATAGTTATTTTTTAAAATGCTTACCTGACAAATGCAAGGAAAGCAACTATAGGAACAGAAAGATAATCAAAAGTTGCAACACACCAAATAAAAGAAATCAATAGGCCAAAGGCAACGTTTATAGGAAGCAAAACATGACATGAAAATCAAAAGTAAAAAAGCAAAAAGCAAATGCCAGGGAAGGATTGATAACAATCTTAATTGATAGAAAGCATAGGCAAGCACAATGATAATGGAATTTAAAATGACTTTGGTGATCATAAAATAAATTAATATTATGCACTTCAGCAAAGTCAAAATAAAGGATATGGAAATGATGATGGCTTTGAACATTGTTTTGTATTTATTGCAATGAAGTAAGTGATAATTAATGTAAGAAAATAACATGTATTAATTGCAAATTACATTAGAAAATTTTTACATTAACATAGCTAGTTAAATTTTGATACAAAACTCTATACATTATTATCTTATATAACTCCTCAAAGAGTATGGATAAATTTAAAGGATAGATCATATAGTTAATTTCAAAATATTTATAGGATTGATAGAAATTAGATCTACTATACCTTCTTCAATTATAAATCTTACCAATGTAATTCTATCACTTGTAATAGTAAAATTAAACATATCTGTAATGAACTTTTAATTTATTTTTGTTTACCTAAACCCTAATCTTTTAATAGAAAACTCTGTGTATCATTCATCATCTCAACATATTATATTTTGAAATAAGTCGTAAAAAGAAAAACAGGAAAGAAAAAAGAAAGATAGCATGAACAAACGAGGTCGAAAGACATTAGAAGTCTTGCACATGGCTTGTTTACCCCTTAAATTAAAGCTTGCAATACATTTATTAAATTGGTTTACACAAAAAAATTAAAAAGTAAATATATTTTAAGAAATTTTGGACGAATGCTTCCAGTTATGTTATATTTTATGTTTTTTTTTTATATATATATTAACATATGCTATAAAGAATCCATCTCTGCTTTTTATACTTTATTTTGTATTTTGTAATCATTTGACCCTTCTGTGTCGAAAACTGAAGGAGCAAACGATTGTGTAATAGAAAGTATGAGGATTCAATTATGATAAATAAAAGTAAAGAGTTCAAAAAAAGAAAAAATTGATGGAAGCAGAACCAAATCCTCCTTAACCCATCCGCCACCTATAAAATTTTGCATTAAAACCCCTCTATTAACTGCTCCACACACCTCTAAACACGCGCCACCGCGACCACAAAAAAATCAACCAACATGAGATCCATGAACCACCGAGCTCCGGTGTCGGAGCGCACGGTGACCACCTCAAAAAACAAACGCAAGCATCCTTTTCATAACGAACAACAATACCGTCGCAGAAAGAGGAATAAGTCAGTCTCCAAAACCGAAAAAACCCTAACTCTTAAACCTCATATCTCAAATCAAAACTCACTCCCCATATCAAACAGATTCCAATCAATTCAGCACAACAAAAAACATAATTGCAGAAGTAATTCCAGTAATTTTGAATTTGACCGCAAGTGGACCTTCTCTTCGCATGATTCCTCTACTTATGAAGGTATTTATTTTATTTTATTATGGTTAAATAGATATTGATTAATGCTTTCCTTAGATTAATTTTATGCTTTTTCCCCTTAAATTTTGCAGATAGAGTTGTTTTTGTTTCGTATAACATATTAGGTGTTGAAAATGCATTAAAGCATCCAGATTTGTATTTTAAAATTCCGTCGCATTTCTTGGAATGGGATCGGCGGAAAGAGCTTATATGTAAAGAGATGAATCATTACAATGCAGGGATACTCTGTTTTCAGGCAGGTCGAATTTCTTCTTTTTTTTTTTTTTAATTAGCAATGCTTATTGGTGATTTTTATGTGATTTTGATAATTTAGCTTTCTGGATGTAGGAGGTTGATCGTTTTGATGATTTAGATTATCGTCTACGGCAGGATGGGTTTCGAGGTGTATACAAGGTATATATTGAAATGACTATTTATATGTTCTTCTAGTCCGGCAATTTTGTTTGCTTTTTGTTAGTTTTATTTATGTGATTGTATTGATTATGTTTCCTTCAGGCTCGTACAGGCGAAGCATGTGATGGATGTGCCGTATTTTGGAAAGATAAATTGTAAGGTTTTCTTAAGGTCGATCATGTTATATGTATTTTGAGTTTAGAAGGTGTATAAGCTTTTAGTTTATGCTATTAGTTTGCTTTGACAGGTTATGTGGTCCTTGATTATTTGTTAAACGTGTTGTTCCTATGTTTAGTGATGAGAATTATGGATTTATACTCAATATCTAATGGAATTGTTGCATATTTAGAAAATACTTTACTTGGGATTATGGTTTTGCTCTACCCTGAGAAAGCATTTTTATATTGTCATAAGTTTTGGGTTTTTTCCACCATGTTACTTGGGAATGTAGAGTACATGCTTGTAGTTGAAAAAATGTGCATGTTCATTTCCTTCTTTTCATTTTTGCCATGTTCTCCATACAGATTCACCCTTTTGCATGAAGAACACATAGAGTTCCAGAGTTTTGGCCTTCGAAATAATGTTGCTCAATTTTGTGTTTTAAAGGTACGCAAAGGGTTGGCTTACCATAATGTGACTAGTTCTAAACACTATATATATCCAACAATACAACAAGGATTAAGCACAACCAAACCCCCCCCCCCCCCCCCCCCTCTGTCTCTGGTTTTTTGTTTTACATAGCTTTTATAGCTTCGATTTTGGATTTTGGAGGACCAAACACATTTTAGACTGACTTTTATCTGTGCTCATTTTGGTAAAAGTTGTGGCAATATGATAATTTGGCTCTTTTTAACATTGAAAGCTCCTCTTGGTGGTTTGGATCTTCAAAAATTGTAAGGTCTGTGATGGTACAGTTGCTTGAATTTTAACCTATGTTCAAGCGTCATGTAAAGCATTGCATTTTAAAATTTTGGAAGGAATAGCAGAATGAAATGCATAAAGAGGAATGGTGGATATTTTGATGATAATCATTGATATCATTTATGACTTTATCATCTCTCTTTTATGTTCTTTTTCTTCTGCTTCCCATCCATTGATTTTATAAATTATGACCTTAACAGAATTTTTTTGCTTGGGACTCATATTCATTATTTGCTAACTTCTTGGCATGGTTAAAGTTTTATCGGTATCATTATTTTCAATTTTCCTGAATTATGCAGATGAATGAAAATCAATCAGAGTCGGGCTTGTGTACGCAAGCATCAAAGTAAGTTCAAATGCATTATGCTGCATAGTTTAGTGTCCAAAGACTACTGGGCATGTATGAATTCATGAAGCATTTTATCTACCAAAAAAATATGCAGGGAGTTTCTAAACTGTTGCATATAATTTTTAAGCTTCTTATAAGGTGTTAAAGAAACAATTTGGCATTGCAAGAATTTTACAGTAAGAACACTTATTCTGATGGTAATATTCAGGATTTTGTTTCTTAGTGGATATAATTTATTTTTGGGACTTATTCACAGAATTGGTTCTTAAATGTCGAGTCTTCATGTTTGCACTCATTATAGCTTATGCGCTTTATAGTGGAATCAATGTGTTTCTTGCACTTCTAATTTATTCTTATAGTGGAAACATCATCATGATCTTGCACCTTGGTATGCTGCTGTTTACATAAAGAGGCTGAGATTTGGCTCCCTTTTTAAGTTAATGGTTCTTATTTAGATTCTTGTCACAATCAGTTATTTTCATTCTTGAAATCATATGATTAAGTTGATCGCTCACATATGGCCACATATATAGGACAATATCCACAAAAAGTCGAAGCTTAGTGGTTGGAAATATACATGTACTGTTCAACCCAAACCGTGGAGATATCAAGCTAGGCCAGGTATTCAGTGCTCCTCCCTTTCTAAAGAAGCCAAGAGCATCTCATAGTTTGAAGTTTATACCTCTCTGCACATAATCTCTATCCATGGGATGGTTTTCCCTTTCCCTTTTTTTTTTTTCTTTGGGGACAGGGGAAGGGTTGTTACTGTGTGGAACAGGATCAAATTATGATGCAATGTCATTGTCTCAATGAGAGAAAAAGAAAAACGGGGGGCATCCTTCTTAATATTATTGGAAGTTTGACTTTAGTGATATCTTAACATATGTTTCCTCATGCATTATATAGATTCGAATATTTCTTGAGAAAGCATACAAACTATCACAAGAATGGGGCAGCATACCTGTTATAATTGGTGGGGATCTAAATAGCTTGCCACAGGTGAGGTCCTATGATCTTGTTATTATTTCGACTGTTGCAGTTTACATGCATCTTGTACTACGTAAACCTCAATGCAAATTTCTAACTTCAGTATTGTTTTGTCTGATGGCCAGAGTGCTATTTATCAGTTCCTTAATTCATCTGAGGTCAGTTTTTTTATTGTACAATGTCGAGCTCGTAATTTTCTTTTCTTTATTTCTCTTTGAACTTAGATGGCTAAGTTCCCATTAGTTGTAAATTATTTTTCTGCATTTCATGAATTTTGGCAGTTGGACCTCCTACTACATGACCGCAGAAATATTTCTGGGCAGCTTGAGCATCCACCAAAGCAGAACGACTTCAGATCCTGGGATGAGAGTGTGGCTAGGTGACAAATACTTGGAAATTTTATTTTTCCATCATTTAAGCTTGCAGATTGAGATCCCATGGATGTAAAGTTGTTTATATTTAATTAGCTTCCTATTTTGAACGGTTCTGAGATTTAAATGAATTTAATAAGAGACGAGAGAATTGGATCCCTTGTTTTAAACTTGGAAAGGATACGTTTTTATGGCATAAACAAATACAGGTGATGGGTTGGTATAGTTTGATACCTCCTATACAATTATGCCATGGGGTCTGATCAGTAATGACTCTATTTAACTGACTGGTGTCATGCTAATATGCCTTTCTCATGGTCATTGATGTGTAGATGGAGTGGTGAAGAATTAAGACTCGCTACTGGCAGTGAAGAACTCGCAAATCTTCAACATGAATTAAAGCTCTATAGTGCATATCTGGGGGTTCCAGTAATCTTTTTATTCTCTCGACTTTCCCTCATTTTTAAACTTGTATTCTTTTTATTCTTCAGATTTATTTGCAACTTGTTCTGGCACATCATTATTAACTTAGTGCTATTACTTAGCTGTAGTTCTATAAAATTTGGGTTATGGGAGAGAATTTCTAGGTACTCCTGCTTTCAGTTTTGTACTATGAAGTCTCTACTTGAACGTGCATTCTTGTAGATTACAAAATTGTTTCCACTACGCCAAGCAGTGCTGTCTGCTGTAGCTACTTGACACAGAGAGAAATATAGTGAAAAAAAAGGCTTTCATATAATATAACTTGGTTAAATTCTTCAGGGGAGCCGTGGCTCGAGAGACAACAGAGGAGAACCCTTGGCAACATCCTACCACTCCAAGTTTATGGGAACTGTTGATTATATATGGTAATCTGATCACATAATACGAACATGCAGAATACAACAGTTTGAATCTGAAATTTTTTGTACTGATTTCATGTTTTGACACAGGCACTCAACGGGACTTGTTCCCGTGAGAGTTCTTGAAACTTTACCTATTAATATTTTGAGAAGAAGTGCAGGGCTTCCCAATGAGGTACCTTTAATTTTCAAATGCAATTTCACCTGTTCCATTCTGTTGAAATAAAATAGCCAGCCATTCAGTTGAGTCAGACATGATATCTTGATCTGCCACACAATTATCATTAGTCTCCATGTAGTTCGTTGTATGCATCATATTAGCTCGTTATCCTCAAATTTATTTTACTGCAGTCTGAATAGTCTCTGAATCCTTAGCAAGTTGTCCGTCCTCTTGCAGAAATGGGGAAGCGATCATCTTGCTCTCGTATGTGAAGTGGCCTTTGCAAATGATGGCACTAGCCACTGACTTTTGTTTTGGATTCAAATCCCTAATGAGGGAGCTGGACATTGGATCCTTAAAGTGATATCATGTGAAAACAGCTTGGAGTTCCATTTATTTGTGGGACAAGGTTCATCTTCTACGGTGAAGCAAGCATCTCAATGAAAGGGAGATTTGCTTGTAATTGTAAATACAGAGTCACTGTGGTGCCAACTAACTTAATTGGTAAAGTTACCCCAAGGGAAGTACAGAACATGGTCAGATCTCATTCAGACAAGAAATGAGGTAGACAAGAAAATTACCCCATTCATTATGGTGACAGCTTAGGTTAGGTATGATTTTATTGTATTAAGTAATAAGACGGCTACAATTTTTCGAGGTCTTTGCTGTCTGGTTCTTGGCCTTGTAATCTTTCAGGGTCTCTGCTGTTTGGTTCTTGGCCATGCAATCTAATTTCAGCACAGGTTGGCACCACGTACAAGCATTGACATTGCTGTTTGCCGGTGAAGTGTGTTATTGGGAGATGAAAGGAGGCAGGTCGTGACCTTGCACCTAACATCTTTAATCAAAGAACAGTGATCGAGCAATTCCATCTTACAGTAACAGCACGGAAGAAAAGTCATAGATGCATAAGAGGGAGCACATGTTAGGTTGGAGAAAAGTAGGAACTAAAAAAGACCCAAAAAATAAAATGCCCTTTGGTTGAAGCAAGTGAGGCAAACCAAATAATACGGTGACAAGCTACGCTGACAAGTCAAAAATGCGCTGTTTTGTTTGATTTAAGGATTCATATGCGTTAAATGCTGCTACAGCAGCCGAACGGTTTCCTCGTTTAAACGACATTGGAACTGTACTTGTCAAAGATGGATGCCTCAGTTCGAGAGCCTAGTAAAGGTCCCTCTCTACAGGACTGGTATTTACTGTTAAAAATGATTGTGTTCACTAGTTTTTCAGTTGAATTGCGGTAGATTAATATCTACTACCGATAATTAACATTAACAAAAATAACTAAAACAAAGCTAATAAATACTGTATAAAATAGTATTCGCCACCCCGCGTAGCACTATTCGTTTGCTGTAAATTCAGCAGCGGTATTTTAGTAAATTTTGGCATTTTTTTCAGACATTTTATATGTTGTTTTCACAATGGCATATGTTTTTTTAAAACAATTTTGAAATGCAAGCATTTTACATGCTGCCTCACATAATATTATTCATTGCATTATGTGTTATCCTAAAAATCTTTTATTTGCAATGTTTTGCAAATGTCGCACTTTGATCTTTAATTTTTGAATTTTACAATAAAATTTTAGAACATGATTTTTTTCTTTAAATAGATCGATATAATTTAGATGATTATTTTTTATTTTTTAAAAAAATTATAGTAGCATGATATATATACATAATTTGTCTCTTTTTTTTTAAATAATTTTTAAAATAGTCAATTAATCATTGAAAGTCGAATGCGATAAAAATAAGATAGGTGATTGCTATGTGTTCAAAACTTATGCACAATTATTGGTCATGTATGGTTTAAAAATAAAAAAAATTTATTTAAGAAAGAAAAATATTTATATATAATTCGTGTGTTTTATTTGTTTGTATATATAATCAAAGTTTACCAAAATTAATTTTTTAATAAATTTTATTTTAATTTATACACTTTAAATTTATTCAATATATTTCTCATAAGTTACTTTTTTTTTAATATCTTTCATTTTATGTTGCAATTCTAAACTCAATTGGTATTTATAGTGTATAAAAAATATTGAAATGTTGGTTTTTTTTAAAAAAATCAACTATGCAATTACCGTGAAAACTAAGCATTTACTACTCATTTATTTATTTCTTTTTGAATATTTTGGAATCAATTTCTTTCAAATTAAATAATAAAAATTATGTTTTTTCTTAGCCATCTAATTATTCAAATACAATTTTTTATTCTAATATTATTAATTTTTTTATGAACAAATGTATAAAAATCAAAGAGTTAATTATATTTTCGAGTACGAAGTTGTCAATTTTTTCTAATCAAGTGTGTTTTGTTTTTTAATCTTTGTTATTTGAATAGATCAAGTTGTAATTTTTTTATAATCAAGTGTGTCCGTTAATTTTCTCGTCAATTTTTCTCATTATATGTATGCATGTCCCATTAGTGAAACCTGTTTCACACATGTCAATGATGTGGCAGAGACCTATAAGACTCATCTCTACCATGTGTAAATAACATAGAAAATAAAAAAATTAAACGAGACAAAAGTCCAATTTCTCAACCACTTGTCTCCAAGAAAGCAATTTGGTTATTGGACAACATCGGCAAGTAATGAATGGGACCAATGGTTGAATTTGATGTTGAATAAGAAGAAGGAGGAGGGAGACAAAACGTCATTGTTGTGAATATTTCAAAAAAATTTCAAAAATTTTCATCCCACATTGCTAAAGAAGAGTCATAAGATAACATTTTATTAATAGAAGTGTGTTATGGGCTTGTAAAAGGTAAACAAGATAGATTGGGCTCGCGTGCATACAAATTGGGTCAAGCTAAGGCAAAATAGCCCATTTACTCCCTACGCATAATAACAAGGCCCAATCCAAGCTCTTTTTTTAGCTCCTCCGTTTAAATTTTCTAGCCTAAACTTGGACTTATTCAAGATAGCTCCTATTTTCGTCGCCATGGAATAAGTCCATTATGACTGTTTATTAGCTCGGATTTTTTGTGGTATTCTCATATTTTACTCCACCATTATCCCCACTTTGCTCTCACCAAACTAGCTTATGTTAGTCTATAAATACCACCTATGCTACCAGTGTTGATGTATACTAAAAAATTCTCTCTTCTTCGACTTCATAGTTCTTTATTGGGTTCTTTTTATTTCTGCATGTTCCGCTCCCGGTTTAAGTTTGAAAATGCTTAGTTTTATCTTGAGGGATATGAAATATCCTTAAGGATAATGATTGCACGACTCCAACCATAATTATCCTTTGGCTAGTTTTTATTTTATTTTATCCAACATTCTTAAAGAAATTATTTCGTCGCCATAGATGATGTCGCCTTTGTTGTCACCAGCAACATTACTTCGTCGATGTTGTTGCTACTAATGCTCGGGAGTTCTTCTTTACCCAAAACTAGAACAAAACCTACCGTAACCCATATTAGAGTCTTTGCAGCTACTCGTGCCTTTAATTCTAGCAATGGCATTTGCCAAATCATTTTTCGACATCTTTAAAATAAAAGTCTTTGGTGATAAAAACTTCAAGAGATGGTAGGAATGCATTTACTCCATCCTCGACATGCATGCTATGGCTTAGGCCTAATTTAACCTTAAAACTAATGCAAATGCGAAGCATGGGTTCATGCCAATAAGGTATGTAGCCACATTATAATCGATATATCATCTACTAACCTATTTGATTTTTATTGTATTTATAAGGAGGAAAAAATAATTTAAGAGTCAATGGTTACCAAGTACACTACCGAAGATGTTGGCAAACAAAAATTTATAATTAAAAACTTTTATAAATGGGAGATAAAAAATGATAAAGACATCAAGGATTAAATCAATGAATATCACAAGTCGTTTGAAGACCTAAAGGTAGAAAAGATCACCTTCCTAGAAGACTTTGTGACTAGGCTACCGATTAAAAAGTCAGTTGGACTATTGGAGTAACTATAAGAACTAGCTAAAGCACATGCAAAAGCAATTATCTCTTACTAACTTAATCATTCATAATAATTAAAGATACTAATCAAAAAGAGGTTCAAAATTCCAAGGTTAGAAAATTAGCTTTAAAGGGAAACTCGCTACAAGTTAAGTCTCAAAACAAGAGGTACGCTCATAAAAAAACATGACTATAAGCCTAAGATTGCTAATACTATCTTCTAAAAAAAAAGGTAATTGATTTTTTGTATGGAAATCCTAGCCATCATGCAGCTCAATATAAGAGGAGATTGAGAAATGAGAATCCTCTAAAGGAAAATCTTATCGAGGGAGATAACATAATTGTCGCTATAATTTCTCAAGCCAATCGTGTGGAAAATATGAGAGACTAAGTGGTAGACTCTAGGGGTTTTAGACATATTTGCACAAACAAAATTATGCTTTCTTCCTACACTCCTATAAGGGATAAAAAAGAAATGGATTACCTTAGAGCCTCTCACACTCGTAAAGGTTTTAGGGAAGGACAAAGTCCTATCAAGCTTACTTCAAGTAGACTTTAGCCCCGAACGAGGTGCCGCATGTTCTAATGATTAGAGCAATTCTTCTTTCTATGGATCTACTAGGAAAGCATAGGGTTTAAGTTTTATTTGAATTCGACAAAATTTTTATAAAAAAAATAATATTTTTGTGGGAAAAGGTTATCTTAGTCAAAGCCTCTTTGTACTTAATGTTGATTTTGTTATGAATAAGAATAATACATTTGCTTCCGCTTACTTGATTGACTTTGTTGATTTGTGGCATGCTAGACTAGGACATGTTAGTGTTTCCTATATCTAAAAATGTAATCCATTAGTTTGATAACTAATGCTAACTCTTATATGGATAAATGTGGTATTTGTGTTGAAAAAAAAATCTATTAAACAAAATTATGCACTCGTATGTAAAGAATCCGAACTAAACTTCGTGCACTCGTATGTAGAGAATCTGAACTACTTAGTTTAATTCACTTTGATTTAGGAGACTTAAAACAAACTATGACTAGAGAAAATAAGAGATACTATATCACCTTTATAGATGCTTATTCTAGATATGCAAAAGTATATTTGTTAAAAAATAAAGATGAGGCTTTTAACATGTTTCGTTGTATAAAGTCGAGGTAAAAAATCAACTTAGTGGAAAGATTAAAAGTTAGATCAAATAAAGGTGGTGAATATATGATGTTTGATGATTTTTGTGAGAAGGAAGGAATAATTCGGAAAGTTACCCCTCCTTATTCTCCTTAGTCCGATGGTGTAGTTAAAAGGAAAAATAAAACTTTGAAGGAAATGATGAATGCTATGCTTATTAGTTATTTTGCACCTAATAATTTGTGGGGTGAAACAATTTTATCTAAATGTCATTTATAAAATAGAATTCCTTATAAGAAAACTCGGTAAGACTCCATATAAACTATGGAAAGGGCATTATCCCAATTTGAAATATTTGAAAGTTTGGGGTTGTCTTGCTAACGTTATGCTTCCCGATCCTAAAAAAAGAAAAATTGGGTCAAAAACTTCTAACTTTATGTTCTCTCGGTTATGCTCATAATAGTGCTGCATATAAATTTCTAGTATTGAAAAGTGATGTTCTTAATTGTAACACCATTATTGAAACAAAGAATGCCGAGTTTTTTTAACATATTTTCCCACCATCCGAGAAAATTTCTAATGTACCTCCTAGTAGAAGTGAAAATAAGACTTCGATGATATCATGAGAATGATTAAGAGGCAAAGGAAAGAGTTTTCCTCTAGTGATGATTTCTACACTTATCTTATTGATAATGACCCATTGACTTACTCGATGTTATTTCTTCTTCTAATTTATATTTTTGGAAAGTAAGCTATTAAAAATAAAATTGATTCTATTTTACAAAATAAATTTTGGGTTTTAATTGATTTACCTCCAACATCAAAACCTATTAGTTGCAAATGAATTTTCAAAAGAAAATTTAACCTTGATGATACTATTGGAAAATGTAAAGTTAGACTTGTTGTTGACGGTTTTATATAAAAATAAAATATTGACTATTTTGACACTTTTGCTCCCATAATTAGAATCTCTTCTATACGATTTTTAATAGCTTTAGCTTCCATCCATAAACTTTTTATACATTAAATAGATGTTAAAACTACCTTTTTGAATAGTAATTTAGAAGAAGAGATTTACATGATACAACCTCGAGGGCTATGTGGATCATGGTCAAGAAAATCAAGTAGTAAGTTGCTTAAGTCATTGTATGGTTTAAAGCAAGCACCTAAATAGTGGCATGAGAAATTTAATCAAGTAATATTGAGTGATGATTTTACTAGTGTTAGAGTGGATAATTGTGTTTGTACAAAAATTATGGACAATGAATGTGTAATCATATGTTTGTATATGGATGATTTGCTAATATTTGGCCCTAGTCTCAATATAGTACTTGATACTAAATAGTTATAGCTTCTAAATTTGATATGAAAAATATGGGTGAAGCTAATGTCATTTTGGGTGTTAAAATATGTTGACACAACAACATTATTTTAAGAAACTTCTTAAGAAGTTTGGACACTTTGATATAACTCTTGTGAGTACTCTTTATGATGCAAACACCTAATTAAAGAAAAATAAAGAAGATAGTATTGCTTAGCCAAAGTATGCTCAAATTATTAGGAGTTCGATGCATTTAATAAACTTCTCGAGACTCGATATAGCCTATGCAGTGTGTAGGTTGAGCGAGATATACTCAAAGTTTCAATCGTGATCATTGGATCGCATTAGTCCATATAATAAAATATTTAAGAGATACCATGAACTATGGTATTCTAGATAATGGATTTCTTGCTATATAAGAAGGATACGAGTGATGCAAAGTGGATCTCTCGATTCGGACGAGATAAAATCCACTAGTGGATATGTTTTCACCCTCGGTGGGGATGCTATAGCATGAAAATCAACCAAACAAACTATTATTGCTAAATCCACCGCAGTCCGAGTTTGTTGCCTTAGAACTAACTAGTAATAAAATTGAGTGGTTAAGAAATTTCATAACCAATATTCCGTTAGGTATAAAACCAACACCTTTAGTGTCTATGCATTATGATTGCCAAGCTACAAAAGCCATTGCGAAAAACAAATCCTTTAATGACAAAAATAGACACATACAATTGAGACATGAAATGGTAAAGTAGCTGGTCGGAGATGGAATTATTTCAATTGATTATGTAAAGTCGAAGTGAATTTGACCGATCCTTTAATTAAACCATTGGGAAGAAAATTAATATATGAAACATCGAAGGGAATGAGACTATAGCCAACTTAAGACATTAACGAGTGATAACCAACTTAAAACATTAACAATGATAACCCAACCTATATGATTAGAGATCCCATGAATTAGGTTCATATGGGTAGTAACAAGTCACTTATTGATCTTGTGATAACATTAGTTTTTTAAGTCTTTTCTATGATGTCCGATGCTACATTAAAATTAAAGTGAGGTTAAGTTAAACTCTTAATAAATTTTACATTTGTTACAAAAGGTGTATGAATTTTGGTATACATTTGATGGGATCACCTATATGGGTGTGGAGTGGGGATACTTATATGAGATTCTTTAACAAAATCTCTAGAGCACTCAAGAATGACCGAGCGCACATATGGCTTATTAGCACAAAATCGGATTAAATAGTAAAATTATGGGGGTGTAATATGAACGATGAGATCAATAATTTGCTACAAGGATTATTGGTTCATAGAAATTTTAAATTTCATCGATAATCTAGTAAATTAAGTCTTATTCATTCAAAGTAACCTTTTGAAATATGTGGGGGATTGTTGTGAATATTTCAAAAGATTGTTAACACCTTTCATCCCATATTACTAAAGAAGAGGTATGAGATAACCCTTTATTAAGAGAAGTGTTTATGTGCTTGTAAAAGGCAAGCAAGATAGATTAGGCTTTTGCACATATGAGCCGGACCAAGTCAAGAAAAAATGACTCTTTTGCGCCCCTCCCCCGGCGCACAAAGATAAGGCCCAATCCAATCTCCTTTTTTTAGCTTGTCCATTTAAATTTTTTGGTCTAAAATTGAACTTGTTCAAGATAACTCTTATTTTTTCCGTCATGGAACATGCCCCTTATGACTCGTCTATCAGCCTAGATTTTTTATGGTATTCTTAGATTTTGCTCCACCATTATTTTTACCTTCCTTTCACCAAACCAGACCTAAATTAGCCTATAAATACCACCTCTATTGCTAGTGTTGATGTACACTAAAAAATTCTCTCCCTCTCTCGTTTCATAGTTCTTTCCCGAGTTCTCTTTATTTCAGTTGTTTCTACTCCCGATTTTAGTTCCGGAATGGTTGGTTTTATCTCGAGGGATAGAAAATAATATCCTTAAAGATAGTGATTGCATGACTCCAACCATAACTATCCTTTGGCTAGTTTTTTTTTTATCTAACGAGTCCATCTATTTCCAAAAAAAAGAAAGAAAAAATTCAAACCAAGAAAACTAGACAAAAAAAAAAAAAAACCACAACCAAGAAAGCTATTTAGTTGTTGGATAACATCAACAAGCAATGAATGAGGCCCATGGTTGAATTTGATGTTGCATAAAAAGAAAGAGGAGGGAGATGAAACATCGTTGTTGGAAATGAAAGAGGAGGATAAGAAGGAGAATTTGGTGTGGAGATCTTAGAGGTGGAGTTTAGCTTTAGAGTGGAGTTGTTCGACATCAAAGAAGATGAGGAGATAATAAGGGCATAGGGTTTTGGTGGAGGTTAAGAAACAGGAGATTAAGTTGTTAAAAGGAGGAAAGGGGGAGGAGGTTTGGTGAGGTCACCTGTTTTGAAAGAGGAGAGTGTGGTGGAGGGAAACAATAAGGATGGTGGGGTTTTTAAGAGGAAGACAAATGATAATTTTTGTTTTATTTTTTTATTTTTCATGTCATTTTCATGTGGCGGACACATGTCTTAAACATGTCTACCACATCATTGACATGTGTGAAGTGGGTCTCACTAACAAGCCACGCATGTATATAATCAAAAACATTAACAAAAAGTTAATAGATGCACATGATTAGAAAAAAAATTACAATTTGGTCTATTCCAATAATAAAGATTAAAGAGGATACATCTAATTAGAAAAAAAATGGATAATTTAGTATATCGAAAATATAATTAACTTCAAAATCAAATGTAAAATTACAATTCGATCTATTCCAATGATAAAGATTAAAGAGGACACACTTAATTAGGAAAAATGGATAATTTAGTATATCAAAAATATAATTAACTTCAAAATAAAATGTAAAATTACAATTTGATCTATTTCAAAAACAAAAATAAAAGAGAACATGCTTAATTAAAAAAAAAAATCAGTGATTTTATACATCTAAAATATATTTAACTTCAAAATCAAATGTATATACTTTTAAAAGCCGATATACTTATCAACATTAAATAAAAATCAAGATTTTTTATTTGTTTCTTTTTTATGTTTAGTTTTTATATTAATTATTATTTTATTTTTTTGGTACAATTTTATGAAATACTAAGGTTTTTTTTGTATTGAATTCTCTTTTTCATTAAGAATTCTTGGATACGGAAGAATTAATTATTTTTTAATTAAAAAATTATGAAAAACATAAAAGAGATATAATCAGATAAAAAAATTGATTAAAAATATTATAAAATTGATTAATATTTTTTTATCTTTGATTTTATGTATGTTATGGACTAACAATACAATACAATACGATAAGGATTATTAAATTGAAATATTTATTTAAATAATTTCATCTGCTATACGCAACTTGAGGGGTATTGGGGTAAAAAAAAAAAAAAACTAGTGATCTTGTGAGAAAAGATCAGGGAATCATCGACGCAGAGATTTGTTAGAAAATTGTGTGACCTCCGCTATGGCATGGCGGCTTTTCAAGTTACTAGAAATTTGGCTTTCAGACCTCCAGACTGTTCAGAAATGAACGAACAGGGAGTTGTATGTCTGTGTCCAATGCAGTGATCATATTATTATTATGTTTATTATGTTTACATTTCTTGGGAACATGAACGTCATGTAGCACGTCATTTGCAATTTTAAGACTTAATGCGTTTATCTTTGAAAAGTTGAAATCCCAGAGCGACCCAAGTGATTATAAGAAATGGAAAATAACATAAGGTTGGGATATGAAAAGCATGTTTAACCACCATCTTCAAAGTCCACGCATTACTTGCAAAACAAGGGTGCTTTACCGACTCAGCCGCCAATCCATTATTCATTACTCATAATTTAGCAGGCAGCTTTTTCCTATTGGGTGGGGTAGTCCTCTCTGTCTTGAGTTCTTGTTCTCATCCTTCAACCCGAAATATGAGCAGATATAATCGCCAAATTCCAAGACAAAAGGAAAAAAAGAAAAATTTAGCTACTTTAGAAAATGATTGGTACCTAAAAAAAAGAGTTAGTGCTCGTATAACTTCAAAGATGAGATTTTTTTTTTTTTTTTTGGCAAATTCCAACTCATTTGATACATGTATCTAGGCTATGGATCTCATGGGTTTCATTTCATAAAATCCAAAAACTTTTTCGTCGAAAATTTATTTTGAAGTTATTTTAGATTGTTTTTGCTCTTATTACTTGCAACTTCTGCTTCAATCAACTACACACATTTGGACACCACAAACTCAACTTTTCTATTTTTCAAATTTGGAAGATTCTCAAGTTATTATTATTGACAACTATTATAAAGAAAATTAAGATATAGATAGGTACCTTAGTAAATAAAAAAGATCTTTTGGAATTCTTCAAAGATGAAAAGCGAAAGTATTCTTAGAAGATTTCCAAGCTGTTTTTCCCCCCTCAAAATGTTCTCTTAACAACTAAATAAGACTTCCATCCATCTCCAACGACAAACCATGGCGGGAAACATCAATTAAAATAAGTAAAGTAATTAGGAAACGAAAGGAAAAGGAGACAAAATATGCCACCTTCCAAGACCTTTCCGGAGAATCTAAACAATGACATCAAAAGAAGCACAAGAAACAAACTTGGACTTCAAAGACTTTTGTCTATCTCTGAATATACAGATTCTCAACAAGAAAAATAGCACTTCTGAGTTATAATAGGATAGTAGCTGGCAAACATAACCAGTTTCATATAGCAGTAAACAGTTGCTCATAAATGCAGCTTACAGAGAGTTGCAAAATCTTGGATGGCTCTCAAAATCTCAAACAAAATCCCAAGTAACTCCCTTCCTCACCTCTAACAAGGACAAAAACCAACTCCACCCCACTACTTTCTGGAGATTTTATTTTTGATTTATACTAAAAATATAATTAAAATTACTAGCTACAAAATTATTGGTAAGCAAAATTGAGAGTTTCCTCGACAAAAGCAAGAGTTTCAAGTTCAATGTTGGGAAGATCCATCACCCCATCCATAGAACTGATTGTCTCAGTATTATCACACATAGGAAAATCTTCTCCATCATTGAAATTATCAAAAAACTGCCCAACACCATGCCCAAAGTGAGGGTGGTGATCGAAACCAAGCAACTCGTGACTAACTGATGGCGATAACATATGATCTTCCCATAAATCCGAAATGGATTGCACTTCTGCTGAACTATCTTCAATCATTTCCACATTGCTTTCTTCTTTGAATGAACTTTCTATATTACACTCTTCTGCCACCGTTTCCACATTGCTTTCAAGTCCATGACCAAGTGAGGTTGTGGTAGAGACATCAAGCACGGAGGATGGAGATGGATGAGAACATAAACCATCAAATTCTTCAGAGACTACTTTTGTATCAATATGCAAATTATTAGCTCTCTCCAATGCCATTTTGTTTTCAAACTCTTCCTTCTTTTTCTTATAAGCAGCTGCAGCTTCTTCTGCAGTTGTATAAGTCCCAAGCCATAAACGAACCTTTCGAAATGGATCTCTAATCTCTGCTGAATATTTCCCCCATGGTCTTCTTCGAACGCCTTTATAGATAGTTGACGATCTTCGAGGCCTCGTACCTTCAACAGAATTTGTAGTGCTAGTATAAACTTTGCATACCCCAGTTTTGTCTTGTGAAGAACCCTCAAGAATGGACTTGGATTGGAAAACTGGGAGGGTGATCTCCCTAAGAAATTGCTTCGAATGAGTACACCGATCAAGGTATTCTCCATCTTCATCACTTGAAGAGTCGGTGGCCTCAGGATCATGACATATTATTCGAACTTTCCTCATAGATTTCAAGTTGCTTTCCATGGCTGGTTTCTTTTTCTTCTCTTGATAAAAAATCCTATCTTGATCCAAAATTGGCCTTTGAAGGCCTGACATTTTGTGAAATTTAAAACTGCTAGATACAAGAAAGAAATGGGAAAAAAAAAGGAAAAAAAAAAAAAAGAAAGCAAATCTTTGACAAACTTGAGTATCAAGAAAAACCCAAAACCCTAAAACCCCTAAAACCCAAAATTGGAAACGAGAATCGTTTTCTTAAAGAGTCCTTAAAGCAATGAACCCAACCGTAATATCTGCACAACAAAAAACATAAAAACAGAGCACAACAAATCAAAATTAAAAAATCTAGACAGTCCATCAAGACATACATCTTCAGTCACAAAACAAACACATGATCAATGGCATATCATCACTGCTTAAAAAATACAGAGAAAAAAAACCCACATACCGTTTTGATCTTAATCGCATAGAAATTATCAAAAAGCTCCGTTTCTTGCTCTGTTGAGGAGACCAAGTTTTCATGCAAAAGGAAAAGAAAAGGCAGAGACTGATGCAGAGGGTGTGTAATGAAAGCCAAAGCCAGAGCTTTTTTGGAGCTCTAGTCAATAGATCAAACCCAGACGACATAAATCCTCTGTTTCTTTTTTTTTTCTTCTTCCTAGAGAGAGAATCTGAGGCCAAAATCAACAAAATAGGAATTGAAAATCAGCAAAATATTACAGATTAGGAATCAATGAGTACAGAAAAGGAAATTTGTGTTTGCTATAATCAAGGGGAAAATAACATAAAATCAGATTGAAATGGTAATTAGTAATCATAATGAGACTCATAAAAAGGAAAAGAAAGCTGGGTTGTTTCTTACTCAAAGTTGTAGAATCTTTCCCTTTTTGAAGTCTCTCTTTTTCTTTACATAAAAGCCATCTAAGAACGTTTCACACTCTCTAGAACTAGAATTTGTATGATAGATAGAGAGAGTGAGATCCTTCTACAAGAACACACTCTCTAGAATTAAAATTTGTATGAGAATTTTTTTCTGTGATTAAAGATAGATTTAGAGAGTGAGAGAGTGAGAGTTGCAATCTTTCAATGTTGCTTTTAAGCCCAGCATGCATCTAAGACACAGGACAACACTGTTTTCTCATTCTCAGCTTTTACTATTTGGCTTCTTAGTGGTTACTCCAAATTTAACCCAAATTTGGAGGAAAAAATAAATCATTTTTAGTTACCTCAAAAGTTTCAAACGTGTTTAAGTTTTTTTTTTTTTAATTATTATTTTATGTTGTGATTCCCTCTTTTCAAAAGAAATTAAATAGTCCCTCCGGTTTTAATAACCAGTGAATTGGTCCTCATATTTTCAAGGTTAATTGACTAAAAAAAAACACAAACTTTACACTTTTTAATTATATTAATACGTTTTTCAATTTTGAATAAAAAATATACAAACTAAACTTCGATTAATCATATTAATATGTATGTATTTGTTCGACTAAAATTTCGTTATCGATTGGAATTTTTTTAAGCAAAAGAGTAATTAAATGAAGTAGCATACAAGTAACCATGGTTAGTTAAGAATCCTTCATAGTTCAATTTAGTCTTTTTTATCTTTGAAACTGTATTATTAACAATTTGTCGAAATTTTAACCAAATTTTGATCATAAAAAATTCACTCGTTCTAATATGTTTAATAGAAGTTTAATTTTTATATTTTCACGTTTAATATTAAAAGAACGTGTTCATATGATTAAAAAGTATAAAATTTTTTTTTTTAATTCAATAAGCGTATTTTTAAATCTATTTGTAACTTAATCCTTTTAAATTTTTTTTTGTTTTAATAAATAGAAAAAAGAATAAGTAAAAAATATGAAAAGATTGATTAAAAAAAGGACATTTTTGGAACAAAATATTATTAAATTAACTATAATCTATGCTGTTTTAAAGATTAATTAATCAGTTTTTGAAATAAAATAGACTATTTAATTTATTTTAGAAAACTCACGAAAAGGATTATTGTTTTGTTCTCGAATTATAATTGTATTTTTGGTTGAATTTGGTGTGAATTTATTCAGATTTGAATTTGAATACTAATTTATAGTCAAATTTCATCAAAAATATATATTTTTCAAAATATTAGTACCCAGTTTGAATTTAAATTAGAGATAAGTAAACAAAAACAATGTTGATGAAGGACTAAATTGAATTTAAGTCGTTATCAAAAAGCAAAAAGTTTTCTTATTCGGAATAAAAAAACACAAGATTTGAATTCCGAATTTGAGTTTTGACCCGACGCAGTGATAGCCTTGGTTTGGGTTCTTTGCTTCTTGGTGTTTTTTTTTTTTGTTTTCCCCTCCTTTTCTTAGACATAATATGATTAATTGGACAGATCATCCATATTTAAACTAATGAATTTATTTTTTTTCTTTGCTATTCCTTAGACATAATATGATAAATGAATTAATTTGAGTACGTAACCAGAAAGAAATATATGTATTTTAAATAGAAAAACCTCATATATCTTTTCTTTTTTTTTCTTTTTCTTTTCTACATACAAATTTGTCGAAAAAAAAAACTATTGCATCTTTTACAATTAGATATAACTAGCATATATCCCGCGCATTGCCGCGGAGTGAGTTATATAACATTCTTATGCATTCATTCATATAAAATTTAATATTTACAAATTATTATTTAACAATATCGTGCAAAAATAATTAAAAAAAAAAACACTAAAACATATATTTTATAATTTGCTTCAAGGTTAGCTAAATGAAAAGTCCGCAAAGTTGAGTAATATAATGTTGGTAATTAGATATTGTTTGATATAAACATGTATTTTATTAATAACTGATAATTAAAATAATAATGTGGTAGTTTTTTGAAATTTTGATGATTAATTTTTACCATCTATTATTCATTTGTAATTTGTTAATGAGACAGAGAGACCACTCAAAATAAAAAGACAAAAAAGCTTTGTCAAATCGAGAATTTGGCAAAGAAAATAGAGATAAAATTACAAACGATAAAAATTAAATGATTAAAACAAAGTAAAGGTCATAAAAAATATAAAAATAAATAAATAAATTTTGACTAAAAGCATACAAAAAATACTTACAAATAATAAGACTAAAAAAATTTCATTATGCATAAGGTAGGAACAAAAGTAAACATTGTAGAATTTTAATGACCAAAATAAAATAATAATAATAAAATAAGAATCAAAATAGAAATTTTTTTCACTAAAAAAAATTAGCATAGTTAAAATGTATTTAATTTTAATGTAGAATGAATAATAATTAAATATAATAAAATTTTAATGATCAAAATAAATGAAAGATCATTAAAAAAAAAAACCAAAATAGAACAAAAAGTTTTACTAAAAGTAAAAAAATAGTTCCTTGTAGAGAAAAAATTTAATGATCAAAATAAAAAAAAATTACAAAAAAAAATCTACTAAATTTAATGATGAAAACGAAGAAAAAATCACAAAACAGAAATTAGAATAGAAAAAAAATTTCAATAAAAGAAAAAAAAAACCTTAGGATAGTAAACTTTATTTAGTTTTAGTATAACAAGAATAAAAATAAATATGAGAAAACTTTAATGACTAAAATATAAACATGTTAAAAAATATAAACAACAAAAGAACATAAATTTTTATTAAAAGTTTAAAAAAAAAATTTGTTAAAAAAAAATTTATTATAAGGATAAAAATCACATATAATAAAATTTTAATATTTTTGATAGGGATAAAAATCAAAGATAAGAAAAGTTTAATGACCAAAATAAAAAAAATAGAAAGAAGGGACCAAAATAAAAGTCAATTTCCTAAGCCGAAACTCGGAGAAGAAAAAAGAAAAAAGAAAAAAAAAGCTCGGCACGCTAGGGGTTGGTCGGGCTTAGCGAGCAGCTCGGGCTTGGGTTGCTACTTAGGACAAAAAAAAAAAAAAAAAATAGTCTGCAACTTTCAACGACCGAAGATCGTCGAATCTTTGTCGAAAAATCGAGGATCAAGTTTCAAATCTCTAGAAATTGAATTCCGATATCATTTTTTTTCCCAAACACTTCTAAATGATCGAAATAAAGCTAGTAAATATATCTAAAACCTTAAATTTTAGTTTAATGCATACAAAAATAAAAAAATAAATTACACAATCAAATCAGCACATTGTTTCCTTTTTTGGCTCCAATCTACCTCCTCTAATTGTTTAATAATTTGAAACAATCATGGACAAACTCATATCTCAAAGATAAAAAATCTAGTGGATTTTCATCGGTCAAAGTGGCCTAAATAAACTTGGCCGGTGATCTCTCTCTCTCCTCCAATCTCTCTCTTTCCCTCTCCTTTCTCTCTCATCTAAAGAAAAAAATGGATGAACAAATGAAGATATTGACCGAAATATTCGTTAGCAAATATCGGGGATCAAAATGTAAAAAAATTAATAAATAGTGAAATATTAGTGTATAAACGAGTATTTGAAACGAGTAAACTTACGTGAGAGAGGTTTAAGACACATACGTGAATAGGGCTAATTCGAACTTGAAGTTTAGACCTCCTAATTGAATAAGCATTCTCTTGGTCTCTCATATATATATATATATATATAATGTTGACATACACCCTTTTTTTTTAGGTTGCAAAGAGCATGCTGCATATAAAGCTCGAGTAAATTATAAATTAGTTTCTTTGGTTTGAAAAATCAATTAATTAATCTTTTTAATTTTAAAAATTAATTGTTCGATCTTTTTAATCGGTATTGACCGCAACTAATATAATATTTTTATATTTTATAAAATGTTTTCTTTTCTTATCGATATTATAATATATTTACTTACTTCTTATTCTTTTTCTATTTTTTAAACAAAAAATGAAAATAAAATAAAAATAATAAAAAAGGTTAAATAATTAGTTTTTGAAACCATATGCACTAATTAATTCGTTTCTCAAAGCAAGAGGGACTAATTTGTAATTTACTCTATAAAGCTCAAACATTTATAGTCTTGGAAAATAACCATGTTTTTTAAAACAAAAATGATAGAAAATAGAAAACAAAAGGAAATGCTTTTACTATATATTAGATCAAGTGTTTTTTAATTCTCCAGTT